AGGCGAGTCTCGAACCTGTGGGCTCAGGCAACCACTCACCTCAGCCTCCCAAAGGTACGGGATTACAGGCTGAGCCACCGAGCCCGGCCAGTCTCAAAATATTACTCACAATAAGATATTTTGAGAGAGAGAGATATCACAGTTATATAACATTTATGAGAATATACTGTTCTATTTTATGATTAGTATTGCTGTTCATCTCTTACCATGCCCAATGTATAAATTAAACTGTATCATAGATATTTTTGTTTAAGAAAAACTTAGCATATGTAGGTTTTGGTACTATCTGCAGTTTCAGGCATGCACTGGGGGTCTTGGAACTCCTGCAGATAAGGGGGGCAGCTACTGTACTTGCCTCCCAGGGTTGTGGGGAGGATTAAGTGGGGTATTGGAAGGTGCTTAGTCAACTTGGGTTGGGAGAGTGGGCAGAGAGGTGGCTGGTTGGGCACCTGTGCCCAGGGCGTGCTCATCTCGATGAAACTCTCGTTGATCATTCGCAGCAGATTCAGGAACTGCTTGTCCTCATAGTCAAAGCGGCTTCCAAAGACAACAGAACTGATGACGTTGGAGGCCGTGCGGCTCAGGAAGAAGGTGGGTTCGATGGGGGCACCTGGGTGATGGAAATCATTTATGTTGGAGGCAGTGGTTATGAAGATGGGGTATGGAATCACTCAGTCACAGATTTGGGTCCCAGTTTGTTTGTTTTTTAAATTTTAATCTGCCATGTTGACTTCTGACCAGCTCTCTTTTTCCTCCTCCTCCTCTTTTCCCCCTCCTCCTTCTCGTCCTTCTCCTTCTTTTGTTTTTGTCTCTTGTCACTTTATTTTGGCAGTTTAATTGAAATCTCATTTATATGCCATTAAATTCACTATTGTAAGTATACAATCCACTACACAGAATTGTACAACCATCACCACAATCCAAAAAGTTTCCTTATGCTCATAGGCAGTTAACCCCCTACTCCCCTTCTAGCCCTAGGCAACCACTAATCTGTTTTTTCTATCTCTATGGCCAGCTCTTGATAGAATGTGTGAGTTATTTCATGTTTGTGTTTTGAGTGTAGATTTCCTATTCTGCAAATTGGTTTCCAAACCAATTCATTGGTTCATGAGAATTCAATATAATTATCCACGTAAAATGCTTTGCACAGTGCCTGGAGTGCAATAAGCACTCAAGAAATCCTGGTGGAGCATAATCATTATTTCATGTTATATTACTTAAATGTATTGGTGGTGGAAAGTCATGTATTTAAGAGAAAGTAAGGTAAGGGATACACATTTTAAAATTGCCTGAATCTATCATACCCAGTGATCTATCACAGAAACGAAGAACAGAGTACCATAGGTTCTCATCCATAAGTGGACCTTGAACAATTATCATAACACTATAAGAAAGCGATTGGCAGTAGTGGGA